CAAAGGAATGGAAGGAAGAAGCCTAGCAGGATTTGCTGGAATTGAAAGAGCAGACGCCAGATGGAGTGGTGCAGGCCATAGTCGAGGGGGCAAACTCGTCTCACATTGTGGAGATCCTGCACCTCCATGAAGATAAAGTCAGGAATAGACAGCACTATGGAAATAACCCACACCACTGAAGAGACAAGGAAGCTCTTTCTTGGGGCCCTTAAGTTTTTATTGGACCAAGCATGAACAATCTCCAGGTATTTGTCCAGACTCATGCAGCTGACGAAGAAGATGCCACTGTAGAAGTTGGTGGTGTAGATGACACTTATGATCTTGCAGAAGGCATTCCCAAACACCCACTGAGAAGCTGCGTATGTGGCCCAGAAGGGAAGGGTTACCACAAAAAGAAGGTCTGAAATGGTCAGATTCAGCAGATACACCTCGGTCATTTTCTTGTTCTTGGTATATTTGATCAAGATGGCAAAGAGTAGACAGTTCCCAGCCAATCCAAGCAGAAACACTATTGTATAGAGCACTGGCAGGAACACCTTACCAAACGCCTTGACATTTTCCTTTGTGCCAAGCAAAAACTGGATGTAATCCTCCTCGTCTAAGTATTGGTACTCATAGTCACTCAGGTTGGCTGGGTTATCTGTGGTATGCGGCATGGCAGACATTGGTACTGTTGCCACCTTTGGTGGTAAACTTTTCAAGAGACCCTTCTGTTACATTCTGCAATAAAAAAGTAAAGAGGACCAATAGTGCATTTCAAAAGACATTTTGATCTACATACGAAAAGTGAGGTTTGCATGCTAAGTAATTTAATATGGAGATTTCTACCTCCACTTCATAGGTTTGAATCCAGTTCAGGTTGACAGTGACTGACCCTCTGCCAGCTGTTTAGTGTCTTATGTTTGGTGGCTCCAGCCCCTGGTGGAGATGGCTACATCACCGGTCTCTGCACAGCGTGTCAAAAATTCAACAGCCTTGGAGACAAAACTATATTCTTGCCTCTTTGGAGTGGAGCTCTCAGGTCAGGTCTGAGGAACACTGAGGCAGTGTGGGAAGCCTGCTGCTCTCCATGCTGTACCTGAGAAGCACATGAGGCCTTATAAAAAGAGAGCGACAGATGACAGGAACGCTATGGTCTATACAATCATGAATGGTCTGGAGAAAGTGAATAGTGAGGTGTGATTTTACATCAAGATAACTATCTTGTCGTAAAATCCTCATGCAGACAAGGCACAGGTAATTTTTAGTCCTTGACGCAGCTGGTCAAGATTAACCCTGTTATGATTTGGGGGATCTGTCTGTACAGTGTATGAATTCTGTTTGAGGTGATGAACTCTGTATATATGACCACATGAGACTGCAGACTCCATTTTGATTGTAAGGCTGGTCTTTACTTTACTACTGTCTTTTAACTCCATCTCGAACTAGAATTCCAGTGGGGTATTGGTACATGGATAACAAAAGAGGGTTGTTGACTTAAAGGGCTCTCCCCTTGAAATGGAATAGTTCTGAATAACAGACTGGCTCCCAACCAGGAGAAATGGTTTATCACAGGAGAGGTTGCTTTGGCAACTAAGTCACCTGACAGGGGTCTGTGGTCACCTGTTGAGGCTAATGAGGGGTCACATGATACAGAGACTAGAAGGTTATAAAAAGGGAGGCACTGATCTATTTAGAGCCAGCTCAAGATGAGGGAGAAGCAACCCACCGTGGAGGAGCCTGTGAAGCAGGGGACTGTGCCTGAACAGATGGTCGTCCAAGGACTCTCAAGAGAAGGGTGAGCTAATGAAGGGCATTGTGGTTGGGATGTTTGTTATGATCTAAATGATCTGTACTCTCTTGTGCTTTATCTGTTATGTGAAAGGGTGATGATGTTAGAATCTAGGCAAAGTGTCTCCATGTGTTCTGTGCTCTATGGTACCATGTGCGCCCTTGAAGAGGTAAAGCAGATGGCTCATAACGTCTGGTGGGAGTCTGGGGTAGGATGTGTTTAAGCTATGGGTCAGTCTGGAGGAGTCAGCACTGAGCCCAGGAGCTAGGCAACTGGACAATGGGGTGCAGCTCTCTGGAGCGTTGCCAGACAAAGGGTCTGCACCTGGACAGTATGCCTGGGGACCCCCCAAAATGGGGCAGTAGGTGGTCTCTGTTCAGGCTCCAGAAGCTTAAAACACCAGTGGACACAGCAGCTGACTTCCCTCACAACAGTCTGGTGAGTGGCCATGGGATGGTGTTCAACTGGGACCTGTGAGACTTATACCCCCACCTGGAGTGGACCTCAACTAGCTACAATGAGGTAAAAATGACAGTGCCCTGGCTCCTCTAGGATCTTACGTTGAGATAACTACCTCTTTTGGGGAGTGAAGACTAAAGCAATGTCTACACTTGCAGAGTTTTTGCGCTGTCAGTTTCAGTGGGTGATAGTGAACCAGTGAAATAAAAGTGCTGGTTTGTGTACTCACTTCCACAGGTGTCAGAGTGTTTACATTTGCAGCCCTTCCATCACCCATCAGAGCAGCGCCCTGAGGGCACCTTTCCCACAGTGCAGCTCTCTCCATTTTGACTAGGGTTACCATACATCCATTTTTTCCCGGACATGTCCGGCTTTTTGGTAATCAAACCCCCATCCGGGGGGAATTGCCAAAAAGCCGAACATGTCCGGGAAAATGCCGGCCGGGCACTTCCCCTCCCGCGGCGGCTCTGCTCCTCCCCTAACTCTTCGGCTCTGTTTAAGAGCCGAGCGCTACGGGCTTTGGGCAGCCCCCATGCCTCCGGACCCTGCACCGCCGGAGCCCAGGAGGGGAAGTGCCCGGCCGGGGGCGCAGGGTCCAGAGGCAAGGGGGCTGCCCGAAGCCCAAGCGCTACCGGCTTCATGGTTTGCCGGGCAGCCTCCAGACCCTGTGCCCCCAGCTGGGCGCTTCCCTTCCCGGGCTCCAGCTGTGCTGGGGAAGCGCCGGCCGGGGGCGCAGGGTCTGGGGGCTGCCCGGCAAACCGTGAAGCCAGTAGCGCTCGGGCAGCCCTTTTCGCGTGGCTGGGAGTGGGAGGGAGGAGGGGGTGGGGGCGGGGAAGGGCGGAGTTGGGGCGGGGCTGGGGTGGGAAATGGGCGGGGCCAGGGCCCCGTGGATGGTCCTCTTTTTTTATTTGTTAAATATGGTAACCCTAATTTTGACAATGGGCCTTGTGGGAAAAGGCGGAGGGGGGGGGGTGATCGCGGGGTATCCTGGGCCCTGCACAGCCGCCTCTCCCCAAACACTGATCAGCTCCAGTAGCTCCACATTGCTCCAAGCAGGGGATCGTCTGCTCTGTGGAGCAGGCATTGTCACTTGGCCAGATAAGTGAGCACTTGCCAAGAAAACAGGAAAGGGTGTTTCAAAGTTCCCCGGGACTGTACAGGGGGAGGGGTGGATGTCTGTTTACCTGACCAGAGTGGTTGCCTCGGCACTGTCAGTGCCAGGTTCACAGTGGCGCCATGGAGCCAGGCCCACACTCAGAAGGGGCCCCGTCCTGCTCTGCTTGCACTGCGCCCTGAGAGCCCGCTGGTCGGCCAAGGGCTCCTCTCCACCTCCAGGCCTCACCCTCCGGCTTTTCTCTGCCTTCTGGCCGGACCCCAGTGCCCCTCTGGCTTCAGGCAGTCTCTGCTTCCCACCACCTGTGGGGCCCCACCTGTCTCCCCGGAGCTGAGCCACCTGGGACTGGTGCAGAAGCCTGGCCAGGCTCGGTCAGTTTGGGGCAGGGGGGCAGTGTGGGGGGGCTTAGCTGGGCCCCTCCAGGCAAGTGGGTCCTGAGGGAGCCTGGCCAGGGCAGGCGCTGGCCTGGCTGATGGCACCACTCCTGAGGGAACGGAGCGATTCCCCGCCTTGGGATCAGCCCTGGCTGCACTGCTGGCTCGGCCCGGCAGACAGTCACCTCCCAGCAGGGCCGGTGAGTGCGGCCTGGAGGCAGACCTTGGGGGAGTGGGTCTCTGGAGGGCATGGGGGGGAGGGTGCTGGGCTGTGAGGAGGCAGGGAAGATCTCTGTGTGTTGGGGCACTAGGGAGTGAGGGTTCTGCGTGGGGTGCTGGGCAGGGGGCTGTGGGCAAGGAGGCGCTGGGCAGGGGTGATGTTGTGCAGGGCTCTGTGCATTTGTGGCAGGGTCTGGCGGGGGTGCTAGGCACAGTAGGTCTGGGGGGGCTCTGGCCATGAATTGGGGGTTTGCGTTTTGGTGTTGGGGGATGTGTGGTGCGGCAGGGACATGCTGGCAGAATAGGGCCGGGTGGACCATTGTGTGTCTGGCAACTTCAGGTTTGTAAATAGTGCCCTCGCACTGGGCTGGGCAGTGTGGGGCCACCCCTGCAATGCCATTGCCCCTGGCCGGCCCCAGGCTCCGGGGACTGACCCTCCCGCACCATGCTCCATTGCCTCCATGGGGGCCCAAAAATATGTTTGGCACCGGGCCCACAAAAGGTTAATCCAGCCCTGGCCACTGTGGGATATCCTGCAGAGGCTAAAAGCTCTGTAAACAGGAAGAACGCATTTGCACATCACTTCAAATGCATCACTGAAGAGCCGTACGCCTCTCGTAGAGGTGGGGTTTATTTTGCGGTGAAACTTCTGAGTTTCACCGCAAAAAGTCATTGGCAAGTGTAGACGTTCCCACGGTTTTTGCGCAAAAAAGGGACTTTTTCCAATTTAAACCGTAAAGAGATTTCTTTCTTGCTGCTACTTTGTGGGGGTCCATAGTGAGTCCTGTCAGGGAAATGACATTACCCAGGAACATAAGAACCTAAGAATGGCAATACTGGGTCAGACCAATGATCCATCTAGCCCAGTATCCTGTCTTCCAACAGTGGCCAATGCCAGGTACCCCAGAGGCAATGAACAGAACAGGGAATTATTCACAATTATTCCAGCCCCTGTCATCCATTCCTGTCTTCTGGCAGTCAGAGGCTAGGGAATCCCAGAACATGGGGTTGCATCCCTAACCATCTTGGCTGGTAACCATTAATGGACCTATTCTCCATGAACTTTTCTTTCTTTCTTTTTTAAACCATTATACTTTTGGCCTTCACAACATCCCCTGGCAAAGAGTTCCATGGATTGACTGTGTGTTGTGTTGTGTGAAGAAATACTTCCTTTTGTTTTAAACTTGCTGCCTATTAATTTCATTGGGTGACTGTGGTTCTTCTGTTATGTGAAAAGTAAATAAGATTTCCCTATTCACTTTCTCCACACCATTCATGATTGTATAGACTTCTATCATATTCCTCAGACGTCTCTTTTCCAAGCTGAAATGGCCCAGTATTTTTAATCTCTCCTCATATGGAAGCTATTCCATACCCTTAATCATTTTTGTTGCCTTTCTCTGTACCTTCTCCAATTCTAATATATCTTTCTTGAGCTGGAACAACCAGAACTGCACTCAGTATTCAAGATGTGGGCAAACCATGGATTTATATAGTGTCCTTATGATATTTTCTGTCTTATTATCTATCCCTTTCCTAACGGTTCCTAACATTCTGTTCGCTTTTTGACTGCCGCTGCACACTGATCTTTTCAGAGAACTATCCATGATGACCCCAAGATCTCTTTCTTGAGGAGTAACAGCTAATTTAGAACCCATTGTTTTGTATATATGTTTGGGATTATGTTTTCCATTACTTTGCATTTATCAACACTGAATTTCATCTGCCATTTTGTTGTCCAGTCACCCAGTTTTGTGAGACCCCTTTGTAACTTTCCACAGTCTGCTTTGGACTTAACTATCTTGAGTAATTTAGTATCATCTGCAAAATTTGCTACCTCACTCTTTACCCCTTTTTCTAGATCATTTATGAATATTTTGAACAGCACTGGTCCCAGTAGACATTCCTGGGGGCTCACCACTATTTACCTCTCTCCATTGCCCCTATAGCCCTGGGCCCTGGGTCCACAGGATATGTAGGCAGACGTGGGCTAGGTTTGATCAAGTACCTTGCCAAAAACAGCAGTGTAACCCACAGTGGCATAGGCTAACTACTCAAGCAGATACCCTCCACCCCCACAGGGTCCCAGAGCTCCGGCTCCAGCCCAAGCCCAAACATTATGCAGGAGTTTTTCAGCCCTAGAGCCCAAGTCAGCTGACCTAGGCCACCTGTGGGGTTTTTATCCCCATGTCGATGTATGGTAAGAATCTAGGATCTGGTCCAAAGCCCACTGAAGTCAGCGGAAAGATTCCCATTAACTTCAGTGAGCTTTGGGTCAGACTCCAGTATAGCTAGTAAACTATCTAATACAAAAGAAGAAAAGGAAACATCTCAAATCCCTTATGGAAATTTTTTTCAGAGGTTCAAATTTAAAATAAAATTAACTTACAAATGCTTTCTCCTGATTGTCTCCTGTTACTGTCCAGCCATCTGACTCCGCTGTGGCAGCTTCTCCGCTGATCGCTTTGGCTGCTAACAGATAAGGGAAGGAAACGGGACAGGAAAATGAGTGCTTGGTTTTTTGTTGTTGTTGGGTTTTTTTGCCTTTTTTCTTATTTGCACAGCGCAAAACAAAGTGACCTAATCATAATTTATAGAATTTAAGGCCAGAAGAGATGATGAGGATCAGCTAGTCCCACGTCATGCATAACACACTCCACACCCAATAACATCTGCACCAAGCCCATAACTTCTGGTTGAGTTATTGCAGCTTTTCGAAAGCCGTCCAGTTTTGATTTAAAGAATGCAAGTGATGGAGAATCCACTACATCCCGCGTTTCACTAGTTAATTACCTTCACTGTTAAAAATGGATACCTTATTTCTACTCTGAATTTGTCTAGTTTCAACTTCAAACCACTGGATTTCGTAATGCCTTTTTCTGCTAGATTAAAGAGCTGTACTGTCAGAAATCTCTTCCCCATCTAAATACTTGTAGACCATGATCAAGTCATCTCTCGATCTCTTTGATGAACAATAGATGGAGCTTCTTTAGTCTCTCACCATAAAGCATATTTTCCAGATCCCGAAGCATTCTTGGAAATCTATTGGAACCTTTTCAATTGGTTGTCTGCCATGAGACTTATGCCCTTTTCTGTTATTGCTTTCCAGGATACCGTGCTCTGTCTTATAAATGTGATTTACATTCTTTGTTCCTAGATGTACGACTTTGCATTTGGCAGTGTGAAAACACGTTTTGTGCAAATGAGCCCACTTTGCCACGCAATCCAGGTTAGTCTGTGTAACTGACCTGTTTCCATTATTTTACCAGCAATGATTTCATATTTTCTTCATTGACACAGATCTTGAATAGCATTGAGCCAAGAACAGATCTCTGCACCGTGCCACTAGAAACACCCTTATTTGGAGGATGATTTCCCCCCTTGGCAGTTACTTTCTGCTGTGTATCAGTTAATCAGCTTTCAGTCCATTTCATATGGTCTGTATTGATTTTGGATAGTGGTAAAAAAATTGTATCAGAATGTCATTTGGGACTAAGTGGAATGCCTTACAGAAATCTAAGTATGCTATTCATGGTTAGCATTTTCAACCAGAACTGTAATCTCATCAAAAAACACTGTTACATTTGTTTGGCAAGACTTATTTTCCATAAAACCATGTTGACTGGCATTAATTATGCTACCATCCTTGAATTCTTTGCTGATTTAAAATCCATATCAACCTTTCCATGATTTTGCCCAGGCTCAATGTTAGGCTAATTGGTCTATAGTTTCCTAGGTCATCCCATTTACTTGTTTTTAAATATTAGTACAACATTTGCTTTTTTGAGTTCTCTTGAATGTCCTCAGTGTTCTAAGATTTATTAAAAATCAGGATTAAAGGTTAGAGAGATCCTCGGCCAATTTTTTTAATACTCTTGGGTCTAAGTCATCCAGTCCTGCCAATTTGAAAAAGTTTACCTTTGTAGTTGCTGCTTAACATCCTCCCTAGTTAATGATAGAATAGAAAGTATTTCATTATCACTTGAAGTTATGAATACATCATCCTGCTTCTTTCTGAATACAGAACAGAAATAGTTATTGAATACTTCTGTCTCTTCTGCATCATGATTGAAGAGGTCTGTCAGTTAAGACCCTGGACTGGGATTCAAAAGATATAGAGTTGAGTCCCACCTCTGCCACTGGCTTACTGTCTGACCTTGGGCAACTCATTTAATCTCTCTGTGCCTCAGTGCCTATCTGTAAAGTGGGGACAGTAATATTTCCTTTTCTCTACTTTTTGTCTGTCTGGTCTATTTAGACTGTAAGCTCTTCATAGTGGGGATTGTCTCTTACTATGCATACGTAAAGCAGATGGGAGTTCTGGATGCTTCTCTAATGCTGCTGCTAATACTAAGAGACTTCCCTTCTAAATCTGCCTGCTTCTGCATCCAGAAAATTGGAGCAATGTTATGCCATTTCTCAATATTTTGAAGAAATTCCATCTCCCCAGAGTCAATGATCCATTTAATCTTCAACGTTCACATGTGCTGAATTTTGAAAAAGCCACCGGAAGACGTGCCCCATGGCACAGCCCAGCCCTCAGTGAGTGGAGGAAGCCTGGCTGTGGAACAGCCGTACCACGAGTCACTGGGCCTGGTTCTCACTTATGCCAAGCCCCTTTTACACCACTCTGAGCCTTCAAGTGGGTGGAAACAGCTACATCAGAATAGCTGGGGAGGGATAGCTTGGTGGTTTGAGCACCGGCCTACTAAACCCAGGGTTGTGTGTTCAATTCTTGAGGGGGCTATTTAGGGATCTGGGGCAAAATCAGTGCTTGGTCCTGCTACTGAAGGCAGGGGTCTGGACTTGATGACCTTTTGGGATCCCTTCCAGGGATATGAGATAGGTATATCTCCATAAAAATCATTAACCCAGCACAGAGGGCCTTCCAAGCCAGGTCAGAGCTTGTGTAAGGTGTTTACATTGTTCTGGCTCCCAACCCACCGCATCAGAGGCATGCTGCAAGCATATTGTGACATTGCACTCCAGGTGATTTTATGAAAATATGCTAATGAGGGTGACTATAATGTAACTGGAATATGCTTCATGCAAAAGGTCTCTTGTAAGGTGTCATTACAAAGCTTATAATCTACTGAGTTGTGGTCATCCTATTTGTATAAATGTATCATTCTTGTTTCTGAAACTAGAAATATGAAATGTAACTCTGAGGTCCTATTGTAATTATGCAAAGTGTGAGCCATTAATGGGGGTTTGGAATCTTGATGGCTCCTGTCAACTAGGACAATTGGTTGTAAATGGCTCTGTTTACTTGCAAGCCTTCCTGTGAGTCAGGCCAGGAAGAATGAAGGTTTGGGGTCTCATGGGACTTGTGACCATGTCACCTGGTACTGGAATCCATCTTAAACCTGGTGCTTTTCCATTTAGAAGGAGGGGTGGGGACCCAGAGAGACAAAAGATTCCCACCTTGTGCCAAAGCTATATAAAGGGGTGGAACAGAACAAAGGGGGCTGCAGTCATGAGAAATCCCCTAGCCACCACCTGAGCTGGAACAAGGACTGTACCAGGGGAAAGGCTTGGGCCCAGACTAGAAAGGAGTCTAGTCTGTGAAAGAAGCTTATTGGAACATCTCTGAGGGTGAGATTTCATCCCTAATCAGTTTCTGACTGTATTAGGCTTAGACTTGCATATTTTGTTTTATTTTGCTTGGTAACCACTTAAATCCTACTTGTTATACTTAAACAAAAGTGATTTTATTATTAATTAACTCAGAGTAAGTAAGTAATGCCTAGGGGAGCAAACAGCTGTGCATATCTCTCTATCAGTGTTATAGAGGGCGGCCAATTTTGAGTTTACCCTGTATAAGCTTTATACAGAGTAAAACGGATTTATTTGGGGTTTGCATCCCATTGGGAGCTGAGTGCTAGAGACAGGAGCACTTAAGCTGCTTTCAGTTAAGTCTGCAGCTTTGGGGCACATGGTTCAGACTCTGGGTCTGTGTTGGAGTAGACTGGTGTGTCTGGCTCAACAAGACGGGGTTCTGGAGGCCCAAACTGGCAGAGAAAACGGGCTCAGAGGTAGTCTCAGCACATCAGGTGATAGTCCCAAGGGGGTTTCTGTAATCGAACCCGTCAGACATGTATGGGGCATGAGCAGATAGTGCATTGCACTATGGCTGTTCTCACGTCCCAGGACTCAGAGGGTCATGGAATACAGGTGTTATTAAGTGCTGTGGAAAGTTGTTGCTGATGTTGCAGCATTGCATTGTTGTTCTTGGAGCTCTGATGTCACCTGCACGAGCAGACGGTGCAACATGTTAATTCCGCAGTCCTCTGTTATTTGTAAGACAGACCACAGGTTCGGTTCAGTGGCGAAGGCGCTCGGTCAGATTTATTGTAGACTAAGCACGGGACTGGTGTCCCATAAGAGCTACAGGTTCACTCCCATATGCACACCCACGACAATGATACCTGCTCAGTCAGCGCACCGGGATGCTGCTGCCCCCTCGGCGGGACAAAGATGCCCCTCCAATGACTTCTGCATTTATACATTGAGCCAAACAAATTACGAATCATACGCCAGACATTGCTACTTACCACCCTTCTCCTTGTACCTGCTAGTTCCAACAAAAGGGAGAGATAGCTCAGTGGTTTGAGCATTGGCCTGCTAAACGTGGGGTTGTGAGTTCAATCCTTGAGGGGGCCATTTAGGGATCTGGGGCAAAAATCTGTCTGGGGATTGGCCCTACTCTGAGCAGGGGGTTGGACTAGATGACCTACTGAGGTCCCTTCCAAGCCTGACATTCTATGATTCTAAAACATCCTTATCCATTACCCTGTCATCCCAGCCTGATCTTATGAGGGGTCAGTGTGTTCCTGTACTGTCTCCTAAGAATGTGTTTACATAGTTGAGAATTCTGTGTGTTCTTGTACCATCCCTTCTGGTCAGGAATGTGCTTACTTGGTTAGCCGATACCTAACGTGTTGTTATTTTGCCAAGGCCAGGCCTACTCTGGTTCACAGCCTTTGGTTCACACTGTTAGTTATGCCTAGGACTCCGGCAAGGCCTACAAGAGGGAGTGCAAAGGTAGTTTTCTCTCTCCTTCCATCATGTCTGCCCAAAGCAATGGAATAGAGTAACTGAGAATCAGGCCCATTGCTGAAAACATCACAGTGCAAAAATGTTAAATGCACTTAACAGTACACACACACACCATCAAATACATGCACACACAACTACCTCCACACACCACCCCGAAGAGGAATGTAGTGGGAGACGATACTACAAAAAGTCATTACATTGTGCAGTGTTGCCAATCCATTTGTGAATAGATGTGGACTCTTGACTATAAAATGCCCCAAGTGCTGCTGGGAAACTTCTGAAGTGGGTTTGGGATGGGTATAATAAAGAGCAAGGTGGGAGCACTAGAGAAGGAAGGGAAATCTCAGGAGAGCAGAAGAGTATGTTAATGTTGTCTTTATGATCAGCAGTTTGGTCTGGTGGTTAGAGCAAAACTATGGCCCAGCTCAGACTGGGAC